GGGCGCCAGCCTCGAACCCGAGAGTCACTTCAAGACTTCAAGACTTCAAGACAACTGAACCTGGCTCCGCGCTTATTTTAAATTGCTCGCTACCAACATGGGTATTGATATTTTCATGCCGGGGACCGATGCCAAAGTGGTATATATCTTTTCTTCGCATAATTTTTCAGGTCACTGAACTTAAAAAATTTCTTCGAAACCATGGTGCCAAAACCCTCGATGCCCCTGAGTGTCGTGAAGAGGATTGGATGGACGACTTTAAAAAGTGCATCAAACACATTAATGTTTGTTGGAGAGGTGACACTATGGGTGATAATGGTGAGCTTATTTTTCTCCTTATATTCCTCTCAGACGTTGACGATGTGTTAACCACCGTTGCCACGCTCGCCGTTCAGCTTCCGATCAACCAAGCTGAAATAATCGCGGAGTTATGTGAACAATACAGCGACTTTACCGGAAGTAACATAAGAAAACACGTATCAAAGCTTTTCTCGTAAATCGCACCCTTTGTCTTACGTTTGTAGTCTGAATTTATTATTTCATGGTGTACCTCCAACCAGTCAGTCCAAGTGTCTAATATACCTCACTCTGTTATCATGCGCTATGAAATGTGGAGTTGTTCAGCAGATCACCACAGATCCCAAGAAGGTAAAAAATAATCAGTAAATGTGACGATGCAGGTCGCTTCGTGGCTGGAAAAGTGTCTCTGTACACCTGAAGAACGACGTAAAGTTTGGAGGAAGTTGCATGAGACATTTTCCGGACTTGGAGAAAGTCGTCGTGCGACGGAAGCTCTGGTATATTTACTGTCCACTTACAACGACGATGATGCAGCAGAAGCTCGACAAGATGCCATAAAGTGAGATTTTGCTTTTCGATTTACACACTTAGGTGCATTATATCCGTCATGCAAGATCCTTCGCTCCTAGCACATGACCAGTTGTACGCATTAAAGCCAGTTCAGTTTTTGGAGGGAGAACCGGTTCATGACGTAAGGTCGCTCGTTTTATAATTGCCTCTTAGTTTTTTAAAATTTTTCTGTCAGGAAATTTGACTACTTTCAAGGCTTTTATGAAAAAGCACCCAGATTTCCTTAAACAAAATGGTTTGGATGAGGACGCATGTCGACACAAGCTTCGACTGCTTACGCTTATGCAGATATCAGAGAACCAGGCAGATATTAGTTACGATGCAGCTGTCAAGGAATTGGAACTCCCAGTTGAGAACCTGGAATCGTTTATCATCGAAGGTGGGTGATATAGAGTAATATATATATACATATATACATATATATGATGATTTCGTATAAACGAAAATACAACCGCTTTGGTTTACCTGGTAAAAATGGATGGGTGGATGCATCCTTTGAGTGTACTGTGCTTACTTTGAGTGTTTTCTACCGTGTTCGCACACAGATTTCGCGCGTCTATGTTGTTGTGCATAAAGAATCATTTCGAAGATTAGCATGGCTTCTAGTAGGACAATCTCTTTAGTTTTGACATCTATTTGGTTTTTAAGTCAGCTTGATTAGGTGGATTCCTCATTGTACCTTGAAAAAATTTAACCAATTTTCGGATCGTCCGGTTGCAACTGTTTCTGCAGCATTTCAATCTAGTATTCCATCGTCCCTTCTGCTGAACAATATGAATCTTGAAACGTTTACAATAGGCTTTTGTTCCAACATCTGATTGAGGTATCTGCTATACATGCATTTCGCATGTGTGCACTTTCCAATTAATATTCAATAACGGTCTAAAGACCTCAGTTAACGTGTCCTCCGAACCCGAATGCAAAGCTTCATCAACGCAGAGCAGAACAGATCACGCATCAGTACTGGTGTTACGAATTTGGCCAGTAATCCAGTTTCAGTTTTTACAACCTTTAATCATGCCTCTTTGTGCAGTGGTTTCGGTTGGTCACATGACTGCCGATTTGGATAAAAGAGCAGAAGAAAAGATCGGAGTGTTAAGAACAGATTTAAGAAGAGGGAATTCATATAAACGCCACTGTTTGCATCAATCAGTCATAACTGCCTCTAATGGTCGGTTACAATTATCCAGAGCTCCCCATCCGGAGAGCTTAACGGCACCAATATGATCGAGTCTCTTGGTCAGTGTTTTCTTACATTTATGCCAGGTCTTAGTTTGACCGCCTTTGACTTTTTCCCCTACCTGCTACAGCAAATAGCACGCCGCGGCAGCCGTTTCTTTTTGGGACACACATAACACGTGCCACAACAGACGGAGTTTATGGAGGTCGACCACTTGCTCCAGTGGGCGCCCGTAATACATAAACCTGACTCTAGCGTCAGCGTTGCTTGTCCGGTTTAACCACTACTTTCGTGCACTGCGACGTAAACAGCAGTGTTCGAGCACCGATCGTCTATCTTTATCCTGTTACCTTAATCTCTAAGTCTCCGCGCCGTAAAGTAGCTCAGGCCAAACTACTGCAGCATACACGCGACTATTCACAGACAGCCGAATGTCGCAACCGAGCCACAGATGTCCGAAGTTGGCAAATATCAATCGAATCTTCTGTGTGAGAACTGACACTTCATCTGTAATGCGTCCTCCAGTTGAGATGTAGCTGCCCAAATAGCAATATTTGTCTATTTCCTCTATTGCATCTTCAGTTAGAGTGAAGTTAGGGGCTGGGCCAACCCAGTCCTGTAGCAATATTTTGCGCTTTGAAGGCGAAAAACGCATACCGAACATGGATACTGTTTCACACTCCACGGTGATTGTTCTTCAAGGTATGTATTTCTATATTCCATACCTCTCCAAACCCGGTAAATCACGATCCCCTGAGTGGTTTATTCATGCTTGCAACCGTCAGGCACGTTTTAAAAACTCAGCATTCCGTCGTTGGCGCCACCCACCCAATCCCGCAACCGCCTCGTGCAAGCCAGAAACAAATGCTCATTCACTATTCAGAGTGCTAAAGAAAGCTTCATTTGTCACAGCTGCCCGCTCCGCTTCTTCCGCTACCGGTATCCGAACATTCTGGTCCTTCGTTAAAGCGGTTTCACGTAATTTCTGTCCTTTCAACTTTCCTTCCTAAAAGCGGCTTTCGACTCAGTCGATCGCTCTAATCTCTGGTGCTGCTTTTCCCTAAAGAGTATGCCTGAGAAGTTTATTTCAACTTTAGGATCCAGTTACATTGCCCGCTGGCTAGGGCACATACTGCGTATGCCCAGCTACCGTTTACCACATCTCCCCTTATTCACTGTTGCCGCTCCGGGTTGGAGGAAACCACGTGGAGGCCAACAAATGACGTGGAGACAAGTCATGGAGAAATGCACAGAGCCCTTAGGTAGAGTAAGTGTCACGCGCTTTCCAGATTGGGGTCCAAAAGAATTCGCAACTGGTTGGTTGGAGACATTGAAGGATATGGCAGCCAACCGACAACAGTGGCGTTCTTGTTATCGCTTTTTATCATACCGGAATGCGGCAAACGGTATGTGTGCATAGTTCGATTGTGCACTCTGCGTGTTGGCTATAGTGGCTCTCCTTCTTCCCCCTCCCTCAAAGTATGTCCAATCCCCATCCTCATTGTACATTCTTATTCACTTTGTATGTATTACAAGTTTGGCAGCGATCAGCGAAGTTCGCCTCACTGTATTACGCTTTACGGTGATGATTATGATGATGTGGATAACAACACATGACGGCGAACCTTTTCATTGCTCACCCGATGTTCCCACCGGACACGGGTACTGCTTCGGAGGCATCGTGGTCGACACAATTCCGATTAGCATCCTCAGTGTGGAGGGGCCTGGTCTCGCAACTATAAAGCAATGCACTACAAACCACGGCTATATACTCCCTTTCGTTCCGAGACGATGTTAATTGAGCTAATTCCTCTGTGGTTTTCGCAAGAGGATCTGTTGCCTTTCTTGTAGATCGGTAGGATGACCGATTCACGCTATTCATTTAGAACTTGTTTCTCC